GTATATATATATATATATATATATATATATAAATGTACTGTAATCAGCCAGGGAAATATTTTTACAGTATTCCTATGTCTGTAAAAAAATTATATTGCGTTTAATTATGCAGAAGTCAACTTCATTAAATGCTCTTCATTGCTTTTCATGTTAAGGGTACAAGTCACACCATTCAACAAAGTCAGCAACGCAATCCGATGAATCAGATGTAGCTACAGGTTCATGTATCAAAGATATTGATATCAGCAAAAAATCAACTGCTTCTAAGCTAGTAGGTGTTCAGACCGACAGTTATCCCGACGACATTATTGTTGTAACTAAAAAGACTCCCTTTTCAACTGTAGACAACAGTACTGCAAAGAAAGCACCCAGTACTTCAACTGATCTGTCCTCTAGAACGATCTCACCGGACGTCTTCCATGATACATCAAAGTCAAAATTACGCAGTTATCAAGAAGAACTAGCAAAACCGGCACTGGATGGAAAGAAAACTATAATATGTGCTCCGACTGGCTGTGGCAAGACAATCACCGCCGCTGAGATATGTAAACATCTTCATGATAGGTCACTAGATCCAAATAATTTTAAAGCACTGTTTATTGTCAATATACGTCATCTCACCAGTCAGCAAAGAGAGGCTTTTCAAACCCATTTTAATGCAAGAGATCTTGGTGCTTTGAAAGACTCAGACACTTTAATGGCCATTTTAGAAGTAAAGAAGGTTGTCATGATAACAGCTCAAATACTTGTCAATGCGTTGGAGAAGAAAGACGTCGACTTATCCTATTTTGACTTTTTGATTTTTGATGAATGCCACCACACAACACTCAACCATCCATATAACACTATAATGCGTAATTATCTATTGAAAAAGAAAGAAGGAACCAGCCGGCTGCCTTTCATTCTCGGACTGAGTGCTTCCCTTGGTGTTGGGTCAGACGGTGATGCTGCCAAACACATCATTACACTGTGCGCCAACATGGATGCAACATGTGTTTCACACGTCCGTGAAAATCTAGAAGATCTGGAACAGCATGTGCACACTCCAGAGAGTGACAAGATATGTAGAGTGAATCCTCGTCCAAAAGACGACCCATTCAGAAAAATCATTGAGGAGATTATGCTAGATCAGGAATGCACGCATGTTGGGGAAGCCCCACATGATAAAGGAAGTCAGGAATATGAAAACTGGATTATTCAGTGTAGGATGACTGCAGAAAAAACCCACAATCATACAGAAACTGTTATATGCAGGTATCTGCAGGCTTTCAATGATGCACTTATGCTCTATGAAAATCTTAGAGCAATTGATGCCCTCGAATGTATAGATAACCATTTTGATGATCGTTCTATCGCTGTTGATTTCATTAAAGCTGAGGAATATCTAAGAAGTGAATATGAGCTCAATCATCAGCAAAAATTAATGAAAATTACTAAAAAGGAAACTACTAATGATTGCCCGAAGCTAAAGAAGCTGGTGGAACTTTTGAAATCTATTTTTGGAAGAAATAAGTCATCTAAAGGTAATGTAATATAAAATTTACTTCTAGCCATTTCATCAAATCTGAAAAAGCAATAAATCATAAAATTAAGTTAAGCTATGAAATCTGTACTCACAAAATATAAAAAAACAGTCACTTTCAGGCAGAAACATATATTATAAACTATAATTGTTTCAAAAAATATCTGTTTACCAAAAACAGACTGTGATTTATAAGAAGCTGTTGTAAAAAAAAAAAAACCAGATGTTTAAATTATTTAATTAAAATACAGTAAAATTTTTTATTTTTTTAGGAATAATTCTATGTCGTACACGGAAAATTGCAAAGGGTCTGAAGTTGTTTTTGGAGCAAGAATCATCTCTCGTTTCTGAGTGCATTAAATGTGATTGTTTAGTTGGACAAGGCAAAGCCGATATGAAAGACACTATGACGGAAGAACAACAGGCCAAAGTTCTCAAACGCTTCAAAGGTAAATCATTTTATGTCTTTGAGCGTAACACTTACCGGCAATTGTTTGTTTCCATCCAAAAGTTTAAATGAGTGTGATATAAGTTTATAATGAACGATTAAATAAAACTATAAATATTCCCTAAAAACAAAGCTGGAAAAAGCAAATCAAAGTTTCGGATCGCAACCATTTGAAATATTTTTTATCAACGGTTGGATTCTGTATTTTTTATGCTTTTAAATATTGATTGTGGACTGCTTGATGTAGCTATGTATGTATGTACACATGTTGCGTACGTCCATGTATGTGTATACGTATGTAAGTATTGCTATTACCCTACCAATCATTTTTTATTAAAATTTAGGAATAAAACTTGATGATAAATTTATAGTTATCTACAAGATGGACCTAAATGTGTAAACAGTTTGAAATTTTAGACAATGTTGCACACATTTAGACTTTCGATCAAAATAAATTATATATATAGCTTCCTAAAACCAAAATTTCTAGTTGCAAATCAAACCAACAAATATAATTAACAATTAAAATTAAATCAATAAAGAAACTATATATTTTCGTACAGATGGAAAAATCAACATCCTGGTAGCAACAGACATTGCACAGGAGGGTCTGGACATGCCAGCTTGTAATGTGGTTATTCGATTTAACTTTGTAAGCAATGAAATTGGTACAGTGCAGTCCAGAGGGCGTGCTCGAGCTTCAGGAGAATGCTTTCTAATTGTTGAAAGGTCTGTAGTAGGACTAGACCATTTGATGTGTCATTGTCATTTTCATTTCATTCTCAATGAAAAAAAATTACAGATGATTGGCACTCCTAATATCCACATGCATCGAAAATGACAAAGAAATGCACATGAGACAATGGGTGCCTGTTATTTTATTCACTGCAGTCTTTAGGCCTATATCAGACAATAGTACCATACATATTATAGGCAAAAAATGGCGAAACCAAACAAACAAAATCTCATTTTATATTCTGATTATTCACATCAACCACTCCATACAGTCTTTGGTGCTATATATGTTGTTTGTAACTTTGAGGTATTTAAACACATTACAGGTACTATTTAAAACAAATACTACCGCATAAATCAAGTATAAAGTTGAAAATGATATAAAAAATTGATTACTTAATCTGTATTTTTGTACAAGTTATTAGTTTTCAACTTACAATCGATTGAGAATCGGAAAAATATTCTCACTAATTAATTTAATTTTCAACACAAACCATATTAATCTTTCCACATACCCTAATTTTCATAGAGTTTCATAGACAAAAGTGTTTATATCATTGAAAAATAATTAGTTTGAAAGCTAAAAACAATTCATTTCATATTTTATGGCTTTAACTCTTTTTTGGTATAATGTAAATCAGGATTATGTATTTATAACAGGGGTTCACGAAATGAGAAACATGAAGAATCAAACAGGGAAAAAGTTCAAAGAATGAATGAAGCTTTGTTGAATGTTGATCATAAATCAGAAGAAGAGTTTAAAGAAGAAGTGCTTAAACGACAGGTAAAAATTTGTTCTTTCTGTTTTCATGAAATAACTGAATATAAATGACAAATGTGTACCCGTAATAATGAGCTTTATTTTTAGTCACATTTATTAGGGACCATGAAGGTATATCAACGTATTAAATAATCGTATTAGTTTTTGTAACATTTTCATTGGTATTTCTGTTTGCGTGAACTTTCAATGTCATTGTAAACATTAATGGACAAAATTGTAAAATCAGAATAGAACTCTGCAGCCCTATGTTTTCCAGCAACCTGCACATTGACTGATATGAAGCCATACCACATACAAGAAATGAATATATAAGAATGATCAATGATGATGACAATGATAATGATGGTGATGATGAGAAGGAAGAGGAGGATGATGTTGACTAGAGTAATGATGAAAACTTATTTTTTATCAAAAACAGTATTTGTTTTTAATTTAAATATCAGAATGAACTGATAGAGAAATATGAACAAGAGCTGTTAAAAAATAAAGAAACCCAGCTGTTGGACAGAGCTGCCGATGTCCAGGTGCTTTGTAAGGAATGCTCTGTATTCTTGTGCCTTGCTTCTGATTTATGTGAACGTGGTTGTCACATTACCTGTGACAATCTAGAATTCAGAAAGAAAATCAGAGAGTTCAAGAAGAAAAATTGTGATGAATATAGAGATACAATTAACATGGGTGAGAATTTTTTTTTTATGTTGATAAGTAGACCAATGTTTAACAGAAAATGTATTAGCATATCTACAAATGGACAACTGTATACATAACAATAAACAAAGAGTGGCTAGACAACACAATGTAAAACTTTTGACATAAATATGCAACATTGATGGGATCAACATAAATCAAAATAACCAGTAATCCAATTTTTAACATATAAATTCAGGGCCATCTCTGGGATCATCAATAATAGTAGTAGTAATAATAATAATAATAATAATAATAATAATAATAATAATAATAATAATAATAACAATAATATAATACAAACCAAGTAGAATACCAACCTAGTTACAGTAGATAATTTTTTTTGTTTTGTGTATTTAATGCCTTATTGTATTTATTATGCTATTTATTTGAAAGTCTGGTCCATCTTGGTTGACTCGTTTTCATTTCTTTAATTTATGTATGGCTGTTTGAATGTTTTGTAATTATTATAGTTTTTGGTGTATTTTTAAGCAAATGATTGGCTAGTTTTAGGTGTAAATTCATTTGTTGTTGTTGAATAAAATCCTTGAATAAATTAAATTTGATTTGAAGCAGAAACAGACAGTAGCCACATATTAAATGCATTATATTAGGCTCGAACATCCCATAATATTCTACTTGAAAACTGTTATAAACTAGAGCAGCCACTCCATAGAGGGCATACATCCACCTTGTGCCTGGATATAGTACCAATAATAGGCAGGTCATGTACAATAGGCCAAACTGCAGCATACCTTCAATGAATTAGTTGAATCGCCGGTTGTATTCAGGTATATCTATTTTCTATAGTGCTGCCAGAATACACTTTAATAAAAAAAATGGAATCGCCCAACGTATTAAGTCACGTTGTTGATTTCTTGAGAGCTGCCTGAATATGTGGGGCGATTCCATTATTTTCCTTTATGCTAGTGTAATACATCAAATTTTTGTGACCGTGACCTTGTCTTTTGACCTTTTCTTCCAACAACTGAATGGTGTCTCTCTTCAATTATTATGTACCATTCCAATACATTTTATGATGATCATTCTTTAGGTTTTGTGTAACCTTGCTAAAAGACAGACAGAAAGACACGACAGAAAGACAGACAGATAGCAGTGAATACGTAACCTAATTGCCGGAGGTAATAATGTATTGTGTGTTTATGTGCAAAAAAGGTACATAATGAGCATGTCCACGATCAAAGGAATGCACCTCTGACAAATTGTTTGTGAAAAAAAAAATAATTAAATTTTGAATTTTTATTTATATTATAGGAACAATTAAATGTGCTGAAAGCAATTGTGGACAGCCACTTGGTATTCTTGTTCTATTTAAAGGCAGTACAGACCACAAAGGATACGGACTGAAGGCACAAAGCCTTAAATTTATGAATCCAAAGAAACTTGTTAATCAGACATGGACAATCAAGAAGTGGAAGAAGAGAACATTTGAAATTAAACAATTATAATTAGCCTAAACATAAACATCCAATAACACATCGAAACACACGCACATTTACCCACACATCCAACAACAAACAAACCCACCAGAAAACACATCCAACTACAAACACATCAAACAAAGAAAACACATCCAATAACAAACACATCCAACAACAAACACATCCAACAACAAACACATCCAACAACAAACACATCCAACAGCAAACACATCTAATAACAAACACATCCAACAACAAACACATGTAACAACAAACACATCCAACCACACACATCCACCAGCAAACACATTCAACAACACAGTACATCCAACCACACACATCCAATTACAAAGACATTCAGCAACAAACACATCCAACAACAAACACATCAAGCGGCAAATACATCCAACAACAAACATGTACAGGAAAAAAAATACCCAATAACAAACACATCAAACCACACACATCCACCACAAACACCGTTCAGCATCTATCGGTGACTTTTTTCTACTCATTGAATTATTGGGATTTGAACCCACGACCTCGATTTTTTAAAGTTAAGTACTGCATGTATGACTTAAGAATTATTTGCTTATTATTAGCAATATATAGCTAATGCATTTCATTAGGTGACATTTTATTGAATTAGGCCAAAAAAAAATTATTGTGTTGCCCACGTCTGACCAACCCAAATTTTACGAAAATCAGAGCAGGCATTTCTTTATGAGCAAAAATAAGGCTGTCATAGCCTTGTCTAGGCTGTGGGGCCAAGGCTAGCCTATTCTGCTGGATGGTATGTAATGTGAATCCAAAATTGTTGTAATAATTGTGTATTTTCTACTTTTTATGCGTAAACACATATTTGGTTGTCAAAAAAAAAAAAAAAAAAAAAAAAGTTTTCCTATCGACATACTCATTTTTGGGATTTTCCCAAAATGTGGCCAACACAATTTTTTTTTTTTTATTTATTTATTTTTTTTTTTTTTTTTGGCCTTATGCCAATTGAGTTATATAATGGGTTTATACCTTCAGGCCCTAATAAAGCATGACATGGAGTGAACGTTTGATGACAAAAAAAGTATATCCAAGTAATACTGGCAATTATTTAAAACGAAAATCATTGTCACAAATTTTTACAAAATACAATGATGATTTAAAGAATTTTGGTATTATTGGTATATATAGACATACTAACATAAAAAGCAGTATATTTTCTATTGGCAATCCTTGGGTCATGTGCATTTAAATTAATCAAATAAAATCAAATTACAGTTAAAAGCAGATAATTTTGATTATTATGACACCATTGCATTTTTGTACAATTGTGTTGTAACTGTGCTGCCAGCTTATTATATTGTAACTGAAGTGAAAATTATTTAAATTTTAAAATACCTTTGGTGTTTCTGCAATTTTGATGAAAACATTATAAAATAGTGAGACAATGAAATTATTGAGGATAGTATTAATACTGTAGGCCTAGATGTAGTTTGTATGCTGGGGACCGATTTTTGTTTTTTTAAACGTATATAAAGATTTCTGATTTAAGCTACGTTCACATCAAGCCCGAATCTGGTCTGGAGCCTGGACAAAAAATCGTGAGTTGCTACATTTTTTTAACGCTGCGTTCACATCGCGCATGGAACACGGTTGTTCAGGTTAAGTATGTATGCGTTCGATTGGTTTCGAACCAACCCAGCTTGTTGCTAATTGGTCCAAGAAAAAAAAATGTACGATTTCAGGATACAAATGGCTTTCAGATCCATCGGTCCAGATCTGGATTGAAAATTGTACGAATTTGATGTGAACCCATTTTTCTTCGGAATCCGAGCTTGATGCGGATGTAGTTTTAATGTTGATTGTTGGAAAGTTTCAAATCTTGGCCCAGACCATCCAACTGTGTACCCTCCAACTGATGCAGCGTGCTTATACAGATATAAATTACACTGCCCTCTGCTAGCCCAAGAGGTGACTTCGGACCTCTTGCAAATTATGTCATGCAGCGGTGGAGCAAGTCCAACAATGCATCTAAAAACAAAAAGTAACATGTATTACCAACTGGAGGAAAGGTTCAACCAGTTACAGTTCCTGAAAGGCCCACAGACAGATGCCCTAATTCCTCTATTAAATATCCTATGAATAGGATGAAATACATAATGAAATGTTTGAAACCAAACAATATATTGTTTGGTCTCAAACATTTCAGTATGTTTGAGACCAAACAATATATTGGTCTTTGCTTATTTTAACTAACTGGTGCTGAATATGGTACTGTCTGATATTTTTATAAAAAATTATATATTGATTTATTTTGATGTGTATAGTACTGCTGTGGCAGTTTCTGTAGTTAAAAGCCTGGAGCACAACGTATAATAGCAAGGCAATAGACCTTTCCGGAGTGTCAATCAAACTTAACAACTGACTAATCAGAACAGCGCTAGGGATACGCGCGCGTCTCACAAACACACGTATTGTCCCACAAATGCACGTGTTCGCGTATGTTTTAACACTGTCGCCTTGTGGGACCTTAGCAACAATATCCAAGGGGGCGGGGCTTAGCGGAAAGGTCCATTCAACAGAAGGACGCACATCTCGGGACATCAAAGGTTATAACTCTGGCATCGACATTCTAGGCGCACGTGCCTCCCTACACGCTGAACGTCACAAAAACCATAGCAACCAGGCCATAAACCGTCAGCGTACGTGACGATTTACTCACGCGCGTGTTAGTTGCCGTGATAATCGCGCGTCATGCAGTGATTACAAAGGCCTAATGATATTTTGCACTAACATTAGACTGAAATTATATTCTTCATTTCAACATTAATTTTACCAAAATTGTGGTGAATTGTCGTTCATGAGACTCACTTCGCAGAAAAAATTAATAAATGTTCTGTATATACTCAAATGTTCGTTTTCGGCACCTTATGCCAACATTGTCAAAATAACAGATTAATGTTACATAAGAACATGAAATTTTATAAAATTCGTAAATTTTAAATTGCTATAACTTTTCATTTTCTCAATCAATTTTCACAAATCAAATTTAGTTTATAGAAGCATTTAACAAGCTCGCGGTCAAAAAAAAAATCAGATGTAACAGGCATTGCGAAGTACCCAAAATTAATCAAATAAAAACTAACACCATGAAACGAATGGCACGCATAGACTAATAATTGACGGCTGTACTCGCAACTAGTATCGGATTGTCGATGCCACAGTAAAGATCAAAGGACTGTACGCACGCGCTATGTTCGAGAGTGGAGATGTGCGTCCTTTTGCTGAATTACCTTGATAATAGTAAGTGCATTTTTGACATAGGCCTAGACGTGCTATATATCCTCTTAACATAATTGTGTAATAAATGGTTCTACAAAAATATGCTTGGAAAATTAGCTTACGTCTACTACTGTATAATGGAAGCAGATAATATATGAATTTTGTGATTTGGAATATGAATTATAACTATATTTCAGTAATTTATTGGGTACAGTACCATCCCAGCAAACATTTTGCGAACTTGTGGTTAGGTGATGTCAGAAAATGACGTTAACACAATGTTGCAGCAACGTTTATAACGACGTTATTCAGAAATTGCGTTTTCAATACATTTAATATTTTCGAAAAACAAACTGAATTGTTATTATAACGTCAGCTCGGATAGTCTGGTATATAGGTGGACGATACCAATGGATGGTATCGTTATTAAATTACTGCCTTGTAGGCCTAGATAAATTTTTAAATTGTTAATTTATAATAATAATATTACAATATTATAATAATATTTTAATTAATAATAATATAATATTTTATAACACACCTAAATAGATCCCGTCATTTGATTGGTTAATTTCGTACCACGTGACATTAATTATTGTGCCCGTTTCCTCGTTCACCGTTGAAATTTTGTTTCATGGTGCATTTTTTTCCCATCAGAATCGTCCATTGCACGTTGCCAAGGATACGATGACTTCTTCCGGAAGATTAAATCCAGAAATGACGTCCCCCTATAATCTTATTACTTTTTCGACTCTCAAGCAAAGGGCCCGTGTCCCTCTCCCCCTTCTCAGTCAAGCCGAAAAATAATAAATACGGAGGAAAAATTGAGTTAAAGAGAGGAAAACAGGGAGTACACCCATGAAAGGAGAGCTCGATTATTTACCACTTATTTTCACCAACCATGGTGGGGCTGAGGTAGGCGTGTGAATTTCTTATTGTGCCCGTTCCCCCTCCCCTCTCCTGTCATAAAATCTCTTGATCCACCCATGGGTTCGTATATATACCTCAGCTTGTCTTAACTTCAGCATTGTGCGGAGGTTTTATTTACTGTAAATTATTTTAATTGCATAGATGGTATCTCAAAAACTAGTTCAAATTTGCGCAGTTATCTGTGCGGAGTATATTCCGAAATGCACTGACGGATTTCTAGCCCGGGCCTAAGTTTTGCGTGGAGGCTTAGCCTAGGCCAGGCTAGGTAGGCCTAGGGCGAACTGATCTATTTAGGTGTGTTATAAAACAAATAATAAATGTTTTGTATTCGTATAATGGAAAGAGTATTTTCATGAGTTGAGAGATTGACTGTTCCATTCAACTTGGCTCCGCCTCGTTGAATGGAATAGTCAATCGTTCAACTCATGAAAATAGTCTTCCCATTGCACTCATAAACATTCGTTATTTGTATAATAATGTTCAATGTTATTAATATCGTTATTAGTGCCTATTGTATTATAATTTTTATGATTTTATATGCTATTAATTACTGATATTTCTTTGAGGGTTCTTTAGTGTTTAGGCCCAACTTGAAAATAATTATATGGAATGAAAACGTAAATATATAGAATAAATGAATATATGGTACACTGTGTATTGTTTTGGGTTGCATTATTTCTGGTCCTTACTTTAAGTTATGTAGGCCTATAGATCCGAGCGGATGAAACATTTTTTTAAATGTGCCTACCACAATTTGAATTTGAATGACACACCACTCATCCATGATTAGGGCAGCTTCGTTGATCTCCAATTAAACATTTTCTCCACTTTTGTGAAAATGCTCCAACACTCATGGAATTCTCACTCACTGACACCAAGTTAAAACACACAGCAGCAGTTATGGCTCCAGGATCTGCCCGACAGGGGGAACTAAAGGACCCGACGGGGGTGGGGGCTAGGCGAGCGAAGCGAGTCTCACTTGGCT